TTACCCTATACGACAAGTTTTTCATGAAAACATGACTAAATTCGAGAAGACTTGGTAATTTTTTAAACTTTTTCAATATAGCGGTGTTGAGTCGCCTTCAATGGAACAACTTCAGCCAAAAAGACTTTTAGCTTCAGTCGCTAAAATGTTCTCATTGAGGAACATGTTCACATCGATAAGTTCCTCGCATGCAATACTCAGATTGTAACAACCGATAATGATGACTGTAAAGCACCAAAATTCGTAACGTTTCATAAACCTCGATGAATGTGCAACCAGAATCACCATACAACTGACATCTTCCAATGAACACCGCATTCTATCACCGTTCCCATTCGTCTGTGGACATGAACAAATACAATTGAATGCCTCTTCAACCAAATGTTTATTCATCATTAAAATAATCGTAATCAAACATAATCGCACAAAAACGTACCAAATCATTATTATACAACATTCTTCATTTTAAAAACAATAAGCAGCTCAAATCTGCGGGCAAAAAGTGATTACAAAAAACCAATACAGCAATTCATTTCGCGATTCTTGACTTAATCTCAATGGATCAAAGATACAAATAAGTAATTTGAAACACCTAATGAAATCTCTATGATCTAATTTTCATTACTATTTCCAAGCGAATTAAGAGATGAATCAAGACTGAAATCTGCTAACTATCTGATACGTTTTTCGAGGCAGAAATACGAAAAGATACCTTCGCAAGTTAACTTTCATCCTTGAAGAGTTTTCCGTGGGTGACGCAAGAAAAAACTGTTAAATTTAACCGCAGCAAACACCTCATATCACCTTTCCATTCGTTTCAATTTTTTGCAGTTTGGCTTTTAAAGCTAAATTTCCAATTTTATATTGAAAAAAGTTCGACAACAAATGGTCAACGATGCAGATTTTGAAGCATTTCATATGGTATATGGAGTGATTTCATAAAATTACTGAATGAGTTCCGATGAGTCGAACAAAACAAGATGTGCCCTTTAGAGCTGTGATATCGTACGCTATTTAGACTCAGATAGAATTTTCAACGTTGCCTTTTTGAACTGGAATACAAACTTCGAGCACTATCCAAATATGAATATTTTCAAGACGCCATTATACGTGGATGCAGGAAACAAGAAGAGGAATGAAGTGATTTGTTGACAATCAATCATCATGCTGTATGGCTGAATAAGCACCCGAATTAACGGCACTCACTAATTCAGTTTCACCAGCGACCAATCGTTGCCGGATCAATTCGGCGATCGCCCTCTGAGTTCTCCTTTCGAGTTTGTCCATTCGTTCAGCCACATCACGTTTCAAGTCCCAGTCAACCTGCAATCAAATAACACATCACAAATTTGGAATTCGTTTCATTCTAAACTCACAAATGTAACATTCAAAACACTTCAATGTTATCAATTAGTGAATATTCGAAACATTGTGAATGATATCGAACCCATCGACTGAACCGATTGCATTCTGAACTCTTTACAAACAACTTACATAAAACTTTTCCACAAATTATTTCAACAAGTCATCGCTCACTCTTATTGTTAGCAACAACTGTGACCAGCTATCTCGTTTGATGAATGCGTTCTATTAATTTGAACATGACGAAAAGCTGCTGNNGACAGTGCCGCCTATTTCTGTGATATGACTTAAGAAAAGAGAAAACAATCAAGAATAAGAAGAATTTGAGAGTTTGCAAACAACACTTTCAGAATAATGTTAAGAAAAACTCAATAAAGCACTGCTAAATGAGCACTAGAAGATGTGAAAATGATCTCAGATCCCTTCAAAACGTTACCTTTCTGGGTGCAAGTCTACTGATATCGACCTGTTCCACAACGCTCGTATCTTCCGTATCTGCTAATTGCTCACCGATTTCTTTTTCGACAACAAACAGATCAACATCACTTTTCGCTGCACCCAAATCGTTGGCGATTGGCTGATAACTTCGAAACGTTGGCGGATTCATTTTTGCAGACGGCGCACTGTCAGATTCTTCATTTTCGGCTCGATCTACAATAAGTGATTGATCACTATGTAAAGTCCCACACATAAAATATTTGTGTCTATGCATTGCGCCTAAAACCTTTAGCCTAAGGACATTTGGTCTAATCGACATGTGATACAACACAAACTGTTCTTCGCGCAAGCTTCTGACAAAATACTTCTTCAGCAAACATCAGCTGGACTGTTCTTTTTCACACATACCCGGAACGAGTACGAACTGATCAATCAGCGGCTTAAAAAATCGCAATACTTATCGTATCACAGAAATCATCTGGTTAAACGACAAAAAATTCGTTCGTTACAGCTTAGGAGATAAACTGAAACAATCGAAGAAACCCATTGATTGGAATCATAGCAAAAGAAACAGCAAAGAGAATAGATACAATATGAATAAGCATTCAGAAACACTTAAGTCAAGTACAAACAAACCATCACTGTGCACTTCTGCTCTCATTTGCATTAGACGCCGTTTGCGCTCTAGAGCTCTCTTCTCGAGTGCACTACTCGCTTCCACATTCTCAACCTCTTCAGTATCCGATTTATCAAAAGCCAAATCGGATTCTTCAACGTCTGGCATTCTTCTGCTGCTCCCTTAAAACACATAACTTTCCACAATCGTTAAACAATAACTCATTTCATTTCGTAATGAAATCGCTTATTGAACAACATTTTTGCTCGCTTAATATCCATCAAAGGACCTTTCCTAAGGTGCTGGGAAAATATTAAAAATATTTTNCGTTTTTAAAGATTTTATTTGCATTACACACTAACAATACAAACAATCACAAGTACATTAATATGCATCAGTTATATCCTACAAAACGTGATTATTTCAGATAGAATATTTGATTTGTCGACTCCTTAAATAAGCGTAATATTCCTCCATTTTCTCCCATCCATCCTTCGGTTTCAGCCTTCCTTTCACACCCGGACCTTCGCCTTCTTCCAGTCTACAATATGTCATCAGTTTATTAATGCCTCTAATCTAACGCTACTAATTTTTGTATCAATCCGCAACTTAAGTTTTGCAGCATTTGGAAATATCGTTCAACAAAAACTTTTCGAAAGCGTACAGCGATGACTTGATGCAATAATTTTTGAAGATCACATTACCTAACAAAAACGTGTATGTAACGATATCGAATCGTATGCCACATTTCGTGTGCGTGTCGTCGAGCACCTTTGATTATTTCCGACTGAATTGGAAATGCTTCGGCAACATGCATTTGCGATGGAAACTCTATGTGAAATTCTTTCTCGGCACGTTCTTTAGCTTCTTCGAGAATTTCCTTTAAAATATCGGCCCCCTGAAATGGTGTTTGTTGACACAAATTACACCTTAATGGCATGAAAAATACAGAGCACTTCACGTGTTCTATCACCGGATTGAAGCAATTACGCTGCAAAACACGTTGCCGAAACTAAATTGAAAAAAATGCAATAACACGCTGACGTAAGGCAACGTAATAATATCAAAATTTACCTTTCTATTTTGAAATTTTAACTGTAAAATCGCCTCATCCACGTTCATTCTCCACACTAACTGGCATGTTGTCCACATGCGTTTCGGACTGAAATGTATCGATTCTCGACAGTGATAAACTTCTCGTAATTTTGGAAGACCTGTCTCGGGGTTCACGTAATTAGGTGGCCACACTACCTAAAATCGTATTATTATAACGTTTCTGATCGGACTTCCGTTAGAGGGCGAAAGCTGGTTCAATACGGAAGACACTCTGATATGATGATACTTGATTGAAGCTATAAATGCTCTTAATGAGCGCTCATACTTTAGTCATGCAAAAAATATCAGGAAGTAACACGAACTGGTTTATTTCTATCAAAACGTTTCAAAAATTTTCGATTTTTGAAGGAATCCCGCCACATTCAGTTATTTTTTCAAATTTCGCTTTCCTTTTCCACATAATTTAGAATAAACCGATGAAGTGAATGAGAAAGAACCTTATTCTGATACTCCCATTTCTCTGGAGTCATTCCGTAGCCTTTAAGTGGGTCCGGATAACCTTCGTCGCCATTTGGTTTCTTGTCCAAATCCCACTCTGGTGCATAGTACAATTTTGGCTTCACCTAAACAAACAAAGTTCAAAAGAAAGTCGAATCAAATTTCATTGCTTTACTTCCACTGCTGATTTTTGTTAGGGTTCACTGGAAATCGATCCATTCATTCACCGTTCCCGAATGCATCAATTTTGAAAAATAAAACTTCATTTATTAATCTTCAGACCAAAATTAACGAATTTCTTCCACCCGATAAGTTCCCACCTTACACAAACATCTTATCCGCGGGAGGTTACATGAAAACAACGCTCAAAAGCGAGCTACTGCTTTTCAATTGCAAACAACTGAAACTATCAATAGGAAGGATGTGCATGAAGTGACGAGATTAAACTGATTCTGATCAAAACATTCAGAAATTCATTCAATTGTATGAGTATTAAAAAATTGAATCAGAATGGTGTTATGACTATTTCTAGATGAATAGAAAGCGACTATTCACTCGTTCATCTCGTTGCATTTTTGGTTTCCTCAGTTCCCTTCGACGATGCCATGCCTCTTCAAGTGGAATGTCCGTATTCGGATAGAATCCTTGTCGTTGTTGATCTGCGAATGTTGAACCATATCGGCTAATCACCGGTGCACACGCACTCACACTCGGACAGCAATTAATTAGACTAACTGTACTAAGAGCAGGCCATAACTTCAGTGTGGCTGTCGCTGTGACACGCTGAAGCATCGAATACTCAAATGCGCACTGAAAGTGGCCCATTGAAAGATAACGGTTAAAATTCACGGCGAGTGAAAAATGGGTGATTCGTAAACGATGATAATCAAAATTCGAACATTCAGTGGAATTTCACGATGCTGTATCGTTCAGTGTTCGTTGCATATTTAATCAAATAGTGATTTAACGAAACAAGAGCAAGTCGCGAAAAAGTTCAGTAATATTAGAGCACATTACGGACGTGAAGACCCATCAACGAAGGGAAATTAAAACAGATCAAGTTGATCGCAAACAATTTATTGACCACAGAAAACTATTCAGATATCACAACACAATCGGATGGAGATGAAAGCAAATCATACTTGTTGCCGCTATCAGTGTCTACTGATGATATCGAATATGATTTGCTTTCTTGACAAATCACATCACAATAACCTAATCAACGGCATCACTATTTTTACACAACCTCGTAAAATGGTTCAAGATTTTCGAAGAGAATCACTATTACAGAGCAAATAACGAAAAAAGTCATCAAAATCATTATTCCGAATAAAAATTCTTCGAATGAGCGAACAATATATCGAATATTGTTTTTGAAGACTAGCTTTGCAGGCAGGAATCGAAAAATAATGCGATCCTATGTAAAGCCGCGAAACGAGAGCCTGAATTATTTGAACCTTATAACTGTACAATAAATGCAATCAGTGATACCAAAGTTCAAAAGCAACATCTCACTTTTGTGTTAAGAAACAAAAATACTCCTTACCACTGAGATATGTAATTAATTAGTACCTACATAATCAAAAAGAATTAATAGTTGGTAAAGTGAAGGAACATAACGAATCAAAGGAATAATCACAAGTGAATGGCAACCGAACACTGCAATTAAATACATGCTGAAGAAAGACATATTTTGCTCACAATCAACCTACGAAAACAGTAATATATTTTACACATAATAAATGAACATTTTGAGTGGGTAATTGATAAATAAATATCATGTCTATATGGATGAATACATTATAAACGTTAATACATGGAAATAAACTGTCAAGAAAGATTCATGAATGAATCCATAAACGAATCAACACCACTCGAATGGGAGTGAAGGGAACTCTGATCTCGAGGTACGAATGAAGCCAGGGAAAGATAGATAAATATGCGTATTGATGAATGACGACACACTGGAATGATAAAAACTATCGGCCGCTATCTTTATTTCCATTCCACTTAATCGTTCAACAACATCGCCATCGATGATTTAGCAGCTTTAAGAGCTTTGAGTTCCATCGTCAAGCCAATTATCCCATACCACAGACAGAAACCAATCACGAGCGTTAACAAAAATCGGAATGCTGTCGCCTGTAAATTTGATCCATCTCTATCAAATTCACCACCACCTACTATGCCAGCAGAGTTTCCAACCTATGAAATAGTTTTTTATTACGAGTATTATTTCACCGACGAATCTTATCATTAGGCTCACTGATATTCTCACGGTAACAATTAAGACTATCGTGAGCTTTAGCAAAAACAGTGCACCTTATTGTGCATGTGCAATTATTACACGAATCAGTGCAAATTTATTGATGATGCGAAGCGACGAAACACGATCGCAGATTTAAAGATGCATACTTCAATCAAAAACTCACTAATGCACTCCAATCTGGGATGTAAATTTCGACGTTGATTGTTGCGACAAGCACCGCGAACAGCACGAGGCAAACACCCAAAAATAAACGTCTATCCCAACGTGCACGCTTCTCACCCTCTCCAGCAATACGTATTGATTCTTTCAAAAGCAATGTGGATGTGATCCAGTGTTCTTGTTTTTCCTGCAAACAATCAACTTATTAAAACTCATCGNGATAAGCAAGAAGGGTGTTAAACAACAACTGGATTCTCATCGCCTGATGTCAAAGCGAACAATTGAAAGCAATCAAACTGAAAAGCATAACAATGCACCTAGTTGAAAACGACAGACGTAACCACTAAAAATATATGAACATCGACTGGAAAGGAACTGTTCGAAGGAGAAAAAACAGCTACCAAAATTTTTAATCAATGTATCATCGGTTAGAGAAGGAAAACTCACCAGCGCCCAGCAAGTAAAACATAACAGCATTGAAGAAAAACCCATTGCAATATTTTGTAAATTTGAGCGCAAAGTCGAGGCGTCAGACATCAAATATATGGAAATATATGTGCATATTTCATATAATACCCACATACTTTCGATATACATATCAGTGTTTTAAAGACTAATACAGGAAGTTTGGAACATTTAAAGTTAAGTGTACTGAAAATACAACGATACACCACGAGAAATAATCAACTGAATCATTCATTCCGTTTGATTGCGCGACCTTACCGCCACCAATAACAAGCTAGTTAGTTATTGCCTAGTAGAAATTGTAATTAGCGCTGAAGGACAGATCTGGTAATCCGAAGCAGAAAGAGAAATGACTATGCTAATCTGCTTGAATAGCACTACGTTGCAGCTTTAACCTTTTCATGACAGCGACCTTCGATAAATCCATTCGCTATTAATCCTTCAGTCGATTCACTCGTTTTATTCGAATTTTGATAGCAATCATTTGCATTCTCTTTTTTCTCGCCAACTGAACAATAAATCTGAGGAACCTTTTCATGTTGATGATGTATTTTAAATTCAGCATACACCCCCAGATGATCACTGTAGTTGACCGGTTTATCGCCAGGTATCCGATCAAGACGATTCTCGCAAAATTCCAAGTCAATATCCGCTTAAAACCATTGACAATTTCAATCGATCAACAAATTTCTACATCCAACATATATTGTTGCAATGTTCAACTCTGTTTACTCTGAACTCAAGGATCCAAACTATTCACTTCAACAAGTTCATTACCACAAATACTTGGCATTAAATTCGGTGTTGAACTTAATTTAGCGATTCTGCATCGAATCCACATGAAATGCTTTAAAATCGACTGAATTCAACGAAAAGCACTGCATCGAAAACGGTTGAATAAATTCAACGGAACCGAAAAACATACATTTACCACTTTTGAACATAATATAATCAAGACGTTTTCCATCGGGATTTGGCTGTTTCAATCCCGACGGTGTATAGCAATTGTCGGGTCTATCACAAGTCATCCCAGTTCCACAATCGTTCTCATTCTTCAACATAAATCAAAGTTTTCAAGATCAGCCACCTTAATAAGCTCAACAAATCGTGCTGAGAGGACACATAATTGTACCACCTTTAACATTTCTATTCGGTTGAATACTCAATTAGTGTTATAATCTCATAAATCGATTCCCACAGAACATAAATCCAAGCAGCTTCCAGCTTGATTTTTGTTCACTGAATTTGCTTTAAATCATTAGCCATGGGCTAAGATGAATTCTTGGCAATTCCTATTCTCTAGCTCCCATCTGGGCTCAAATAATGAAAGAGTCACAAAAACTCACCGGTCGAACGAGCCAAGCGTCGGTGAGATCAGCGTTGTCGACGATAAGACGATAGCCGAGATCTTCCGGTTGCAAATTGAAATCACCTGAAGAAAGGAAAGTAAAATACTACCTTCGTATGAACAATTTCACTAACACCATGTGAACTACAAAGCAGATTTTGTGAAACAACGTATTGCATCAACATTACGAAATGCGCCAAAAATCTGCAATATTTCTCCCAAATGGCATAAGATCTAAAGCACAACTAATGAACAATTGCCATTCAGAAAACAACAGTGCCAACCACATAACACAGTGAGAAGAAAGAATCAATTTCAAAAGTTGAGCACTATCCCTCTATGTTATGTTTCACGGCCAAGAGCAGTATTGTTTTGTTTTTTTTTCAGTGAAACGCAATAAACATTTCTTGAGAATTCGTTCAATTTTGCAAAAAGGCGATGTACGAGAGTACTTAATGAGAACTGATTTTCAAAGACTCTCACCTGTAAGAATGATAGCATCTGCGGCATGGCATGTG